TAGAATGAATTGTTTAAAAAAAAATTTCTAAGGATCTGAGGGATTTGCGAAAAGAGTTTTTTTTTTTATATAATATTAGAGATATTAATACTTACATAGATCAACAAAAATTATATAAATTTGTCAAAGAGTTCAAATAAGCATTCTAGATATTAGTAAAATCAAATTGATTAGTAAAACTATTGACTTTATTTTCAATTCACAAATAACATATAAATTTTTTCACAACTGTAATAATGAGAAGTCTAGAGGATCTGAAGTAGGATTACTTATTAACAAAAATATTGAAAAGAAGCTAAAATCTATAAAAAAAAATAAAAGATTATATAATAGAAGCCAATTTTTTATCAAAAAGAAGCAAACTCTATATCTATTAAGTATATCTGCCTTCTGAAAAAACTGAAAGTAGATGTTTACAATACATATTTTAGAATAAAATCTTAAACAAATAGAGAAATACTTCAAAATCATAGTTATGGAAGACTTCAATGCTATAGCTAATCCAACAATAGACTAGTCACTACTTAATAAGCAAATTTCAAGATACAAAAAAGCTGAAATAGAGTTTTTTGACTTCTTAGAAAACTAGAATTATACAGATATTCAAAACTTATAGAAAGAAAACAATATTATCTTTACATAAACAAAAAAAATCTCATATAGTAGAATTGACTAGATTTGGATATTATCTGACATTGCTCTAAACAATATCAATGATTTCAAGAATATTCCAGTGATAATACTTTTAGATAGTAATTATATACTACTATTGACAAAATTAACAACATATAATCTATTAAGAAATCAAGTTCATAAATAACAAAGAACAAAAGAAAAGAAAGTATCTGACTTAACTAATTTAACAGTTAACATGTGAAAGTCATAATAAATTTGTAAATATTTTACATATACACAATAAAAACATGCCACGTTGACCTGATTGCGGGTTAAAAGAAAAGAATAAATTTGAATATGGGATTGAGCTAATGGTTAAAAATTTTTATTATTAATAGAATTAATTTCATATTAGGAAAAATCTTTAGTGACTATACTGTATATCGATAATAATTTATGGATCATTATTGATGTATAGCACCTTTATTAATTATTAATGATATCGATGAATAAATAATAAAAATTTATTATATTTTAAATAATTATTAATCGACAATCGATAAAATTCTATTTATAATAATGCATTCAATATTGATGAGGTTGATGATTAATTTAAAAATAATATTAAATCATCTGTAATGTCATTTATTGCTTTTATTCTAAAGAATTCAAATAAAAATGCACCACAAACGGTAAGGGAAAATTATGTTAAATAAAGTATTTTTAAAATATTATCTCTAGAAGAATCTTTAATCTACATTCAGGAAAGTTTTTTTTTTTGATTATGTTAGCGCTTCAAATCTGCAAATCTGACAACCATGATTCTGAAATTCCAAAAAATTTAGTACTAGGAGGGAACGTGAATAATATCGAAATACGTGTCAGATTAAATATTAATAATTTTTCCTCTTGCCATTTCCGTCTATGCTACGTTTCATTCCAACGTCGAATTTACTTCTACCATTAGAGTTTATATAATTACAAAGACATCCTTGAAAACCGTCAGCTTTTTCTACTTGCACAGTTAATTCTTCCAAACCATTAATATGAGATTTCAATATTTTAGTAACTTCGGATATAATTTCTTGTTCTACTGCATCGCTCGTCGTTTGAACATGTATGCTACCAATTACGCATTCCGCGTCGTTGGGCCAGAATCGTGGCATCGAATAAGAGTTTATATTTGGAATTTGTAATACCTATTTATATATTATCAAAGGTTAATTAATATGTAAGGACACCCAATATACCAATTTTCGACTTACTTCATGCAGGCCCTCTGAGATAGCACATTCGAGGTCACCGCTAACTGAAAGCATTAACACAGAAGCAGAGTGTTTGATTAAAGGCATGACACTCGTAAATATCAACCCAGCGATCAACATTGAGGCCAATGGATCAAAACCCGTCCAGCCGAATTTCTGGATCAAAACAGTGGACACTATAACCCCAATTGATCCAAGCGTGTCGGCCAATATGTGCAGATAAATACCTAAAGTTTTATTCGTGCGACGAAAAAATTAAGACTTTGCATACACGTCGGAAGCGACAAGGAACTAAAAATAATAATAATAATAATAATAAAAATAAAATTTGGAATATCAAAAACCTTCCATGTTAGCATTATCTCCGTGATCGTGATGATGGTGACCGTGGTGATGATTGTCATGATAGTGACCATGCAAATTACCGCGACTCTTGCTAGGGACATGACCATTACCATTATTTGAACCGTGAGAGTGCCCGTGATGGCCATGATTAAATGCGAAAATGCCTACAAGATTTACAATAAGCCCCACGAAGCTCACCAATAGTAGTTTGTCAGTATTCATCTCAGGTGGTTCGAATAAACGTCCCATAGCTTCGAACATGATGAATACCGAAACCAGGATGAGAAATATTCCATTAGCGAATCCCGATAGTGTTTCAATTCTTCCATAACTAGGTCATAAATAGAATGCAATTAATAATGTCAAAAAAATTAATACGAAATAGCAAAAAAAAAAAAAAAAAATTTTACCCATATGTGAACCTATTGTTCTCCGGCCATTTGCTCATGATCGAAGCAAACAATCCGAAAGCCAACGCCACGCAGTCGAAGAACATGTGAATAGCTGGATTTAATAGACAATGAAATTATGGTATGAATAGTCGAAGTAATTTCAACAAGGCCGAACGTCTTTCGTTTTGTTTAACATACCACCGCTTACCATCCGAAATCAAACCCAAGCTATTAGTCCAGATTCCATATATTATTTGAACAAACATATAGGTCATATTCAACAATAGAAAATAAAAAATCTGCCTAGAATCTCCGTTATCAAATATCATCTTGAGATAGAAACCCATGGACTCCGATATTCCCGGTCCTTTCGCGAGAATTGAGGAATTGTGAAGTGGAAGTTCGAATGTTTTACCGCTAATCCCTGGTGAAGGAAACTGAGTTTCCGCAGCAAAACGTATATCAGACAATATGAGGTTGTAAATCCCGATATACATGACAACGCAAAATATATTGTCCAATATCGAAAATTCTCCGTGAAAATAAATTAGATCCCATAGTATGACGCTTGCGACCGACAAGGGCCAGCCGGTTAACACATGTGAAATGGTCGAGGCCTCAATGCTGACCGAATGGCCAACAAGGTAGTCGAAAATTATCAGCCCAATTCCCAAACCTCCAAATAGTATTACGGTGGATTTAATATTTCCGGTATAATTCGTGGCGTACTGTAGAAAAGAAAGATAATTGTTAGAAAATTTTTATCAACAGCTATTCTTGACGAGCCGATTACCTACCACAATATATTGCACAAAAGCCAAGGGTGATATCATCAACGCGCCAAGTGGTACCGAAATCGCGAGCAAGCGACGATTCCCTCCTACCTCGGCAGCCAACTTCTTTCCCAACGTTCGTTTATATCCAGATAAACCAATAGAAATAAAAACAAAAACATATCCAATTATTAAGTCTTTTATCGGACTGTTTTCAAGAAGATCCTTTTTTGAGAGCATTTCTGCATCTTGTGTTAATAATATTGTTGATTTTGTAGGAGTATCTAATATACAGAGATTTGTGAACATGGGGTTAACCCAAGTAATGTACAATAAAAATTATATATAAATTTT